CCATCTTCCTTCTGAGGAGTGGCTGCTGGGTTTGAACCACCAGCCTTCTGGTTAGCAGTCAAGTGCCTTAGGCACTATGCTACCAGAGCTCCCTCCTTCATGCATAGGGGTGGTAATAATTTCTACTTTCGGGCTCTGCTGTACCATCTCTTGTGATATTCCTATATCCTGTCCATACCTTTGTGAATAGGTATTCATTTATTTTTATTTTTTGGTTTTTTATTGTGATTTGGGTGAAAGTTTACAAAGCAAATTAATTTATTTTCCATACAATTCATAAACATTTTGTTTCATGCCATTGATTACTATCCCCATAATGTAACAGCTTTCTTCACACTTCCTCCTTGTGGTTACCATTTCCCTATGTCCTTTTTTTTTTGTATATATTCCTGCCCTCTGAGCTATCTCCCTGTGCAAATACTGCCCTTCTGATCTCCCATGATTGCTTTTTCTAGGGAGTGTACCTACCTGGTGTAAATGTTCACTTTATAGTTGTCTGTTGTTTGGCCGGAAGCCATGGGAGTGAGTTCAATTCCAGGCCCAAAAGGTAACTAGAAGCTATAGTCTCGGGGGTTTCACAAGTCTCTTTTCAGACCAATAAGCCTGCTCTTTTTTATGATTTCAGTTTTGTTTCACATTTTTCTCCCAGTCTATCCAGGATCTCATAGTGGTTGACAGTGGTAGTCAGTCACCATCTAGTTTTTCTGGTTTCAGGGTTATGTAGGCTGAGGTTCACATGGTCCATGTGGTAGTTATGTTTTGTGTGTCAACTTGGCTGGGCCTGGGTGAGTGTGTGGGCAGCTGGATGTAGCATTTCCCATCATGAGACTGGTAATCAACTCCATGGTGGAATCTACTGTGAGCAGCTGAGTAGCTGCCTTAGGGATGTGGTCTGCTTCCTGTGTATAAGGAGAAGCCTTGGGGAATGGTCTCTAGCTTGTAGCACACTTGAACCCTGCATGCAGCCATGTTGTTGTTCAGCAGCCTGCCGTGATCTGCTGACCTTAGGACTTTCAGTGGACTTGAATTAATGGCCTGCCATGTGGTTTGGTAACGTTGGGACTATGCCATTTTATTTGTTGACCATGGGCTGGTTAGCCTCAGCAGCCAGTAGTTGCCTGAGTGAAGAGATGCCTCTAGCTTCAGTGGGCCGGGAGCAAGAGGCAGAGCTAAAGCCCAAGGTTGAGGGGCTTTCACACAGCCCTTAGAGCCTGGCACTTTGAACTCAGACTTAAAGGCTCCAAACTATTAGAGAATGAACTCCTGTTTGTTAAGGCCATCTCATTTGTAGTATATTCTTGTCAGAGTTGCACTCGGTAACCAGAACAGTTCACTAGTCCCTTGGATTGATTGTTTCCATGCATTTTTGGTTTTGTTCATTATTCTTTGCTCTGGATGAGGAGAGACCTTAGATGGCCACTTGTAAGCTTTTAAGACCCCAGTTGCTACTCACCAAAGTAGGATGTAAACAGTGTTTTTGTGTAGTGCCAATTGAGCTTGATGTCACCCACAACAGTGGTCCTGAGCCTGTGAGCCCGACAACTCACTCACTCAGGGTGGTTGGCTGTGGCTAAGACGTTATCATAACTTTGTCCCCTGTTAGCTCTATTACAGATATGGATATTCTTAAAGCACATACAAATATGTTTGTAGAAATATCATCTGCCAAACTTATATATGGTCATGGGTTTTTGCCTACACACACGTGATCATTCATTCTGTAAACAGGCATTTATTAAGCTCACCACAAGTTTTCCAGTTTGACTTAGCCATCTATTTCCTGCCAGTGACTAACCTAAGGTGTCCCACTGTTTTCCAGTAATTGATTGGTTGATGGCATCTTTGATTTTATTAAGACAAGTTAGGAATCCCTTCTGCTAAGTCATCTAGTCTCTACTTAATGTTTCTAGTGACAACTCATTAGTTTTTAAATAATTTTGTTCCATCATTGTTTATTCACCATTCTTTTGTTCTTCCTTATGTTTAGATGTGGTATACCTGCTTATAATGCCATCTTGTTTTTAGCTTCAGGAGCTGTACAAAGTAAATTTGATTTTTCTTCCATAAAACAATTATTCAGATATCTCCCCTCCCTCCTGTTCTTTTTTTAAGGTCAAATACCTATAATTTCTTTTGTTGTCTCATATGACATGGTTTTCAAGCTTTCACTATCCTGCAATTTGTCTCTGATCCTCTAAAATTGTTATGGCTAGAACTCAGAGTCTGATTATGTCTTTTGATTTAGACATTGAACTTCAGGTAATTTAGCCTGAAGTTATTTTTGTTTTTTAAAGTAATCATGGCATACTTTTGGCTCGAAGCTGACTTTTCACCTTGTTACTTTAAGTCTTGTGCTGTTTTCCTGTAGTCTTACAGTTTTTTAAACTAAAATTAAGACTTATCCTTGCCTCAGTATCATCTTAATAATTTTGTCTCATAGTTTCAGCCTATCAAACTGTTTTGACTCTTATAATGTTCTTTATCAACTATTTGTAAATTGAAGGAGCATATCTTTCCTGTCTTTTGAGCAAACCACTGGAAGAAATGTTGAGAGGATAAAGTGTGGTTCATGGAGTTATTAGACCTCCTTAGGGGCTGTTAATAATCTATTTAAGCATCAGTTTTCTCATTCCGTCCACATTTCTCCCTCTGTCCAAAAGTTCTTTCAGAGTGTCTAACATGACTATTTGATAGGGCGTTCACATAGAGATTCAGCATTCCTGTGTACTCTCCCTATACCTCCCTCTCCCACCCCCAAGTCTACTCAAGCTACTAAATAGGAAATGAGGCTTGCAGGCTAGCATAGTTTGTTCTTAGTGAGCCTTTCTTCTGTGTCTTCACAGTCCATTAGTTTAATAAGCCAGAACTTTGATCATGTCAGCATTGCTATTCTGTAGTTTCCAGGACCTACTTTTTTTGAATACAGTTTTGAAAACATTTCTTTTTGTATGTGATTTTGAAAAGAGAGTGGTAGGTCTAACATAAGGAAGTTCGTTCACTACTTGGAATGGAATTTAGCTGACTTGGAGATCAGTACTAACCGATTGCTGGCAAGTCGATTCCTACGCATGGCAACCTCATGTGATACAGAACAGAACTGAACTCTGTTGGTTTCTTGGCTATAATCTTTATCAAAGCAGATTGGTGGGTGAGTTTGATCTATCAGCCAACCTTTTGGTCAGTCCTCAAGTGCAAAGCATTTGTGCCAACCCAAAGTGCTAAAACTGATTGTTCTTTTGTTATCTCCTTATCTGTTGTGGACTTTAGTCTCTCTTCAGGGTGTTACTTCTATCCTTCCTTTAAAGACTACTGTCTTTGATGAAGCCTTCTCCTGCAGGGACTTGAGTAACTGAGCCTGTTTTCCCTGACACATAATGATCTTAGGCAGAGGGACTGCTTCATCTTTATTTTTCACTTTTGCCCTTTAGTTATTGCTTTTCCTTCCTTGGACTCTCCTGATGAGTGTGTGTTCTACCTTTTACACATGACCCTGTTAATCCAGATCTCGTGAAAGAGTTCTTTCTATATACCACCTGATACTTTTCTCTGGATATCACTTTTTTCCTTCTTTAAGGGGAACCATTGTGATAGCTGCTTGATCTTTGTAAAAAGCCAGCCATTTTCCTTTAGTTCCCTTCCATGTAATGACCCTGGTCCTAATTTTTTGAAAACTCTTCTCATAAGAGCAAGGAATACGTGCCCTATTTCATTTAGTATCCCTCAATTTAGCTTGTATGGACTCTAGCAAAACTAATCTTTGGCAACTGTAAGCCTGGGTCAAGTTATATCTTAGATTCTGTTTGTGCTAAAATTTAATATTTCTACTAAGTTGACAAAGTAGAGACTGAATTAGTGCTTTTCCTTAGAAAGTGTGTGTTTTATAACTGGCAGTCTTAGTTGAAAGCCTTTATCTAAAAATATTCTCCTTGTGAGATGCAACTACATTTTAAAAAAAAAGTTAACTAGAATTAAAAATAAAGTTATGCAACTAGTAAATGACTGTTGTTGAATCCAAATAGTATGTATGTATAAAAGTGCCACTGCTTTGGAGCTGGACTATGCTTGTATTCAGCTATGTTACTTGGAGATGCAGTCAAGGTTCTGAGTGGCATTCCCAGTAGAAATAGGAGAATGTTTCCTACCAGCCACCTTGCCAGCTTTGCTCAGTCTCACAGTGAGTAAACCATCACCTGCATTAGTCCTAACCTTTTTTAGGTCTTGGTTTCATTGCCTGGAAAACAAAGAGGATACTAACAGCATTAAAATGATCAGGCTGAAAAAGCAATAGTTGACTGCCCATTATGTGCCAGCCATGGTTCTAGCAAAGAATAAAATGAAAATCTCTACTTTAGGTAGTTTTGTAATTTATCTCATGAACACTAGATTATCTCTTTATCACTTTTAATGTTAGAAAAGTTAGATTTTTCTCTGTTAAACCAACAAAAAATTAGGAGGAAGAAATTAAAAGAATTTCATGTCCCTCAATAGAAAATTTAAAATGTTCTCTTACAGAGGACTGAAATTTATACTGATAGAATGTTTAACATTTTAATTAATTTCTTAATAGGACCTGTTCACTGTTCGAGAAATACACTTAATGGAGATTTGGCATCAGCACCCATTCCTGAAGAACACAAACTTATGGCCAAAAAAAAATCTGAATCGGAAAATCCTCTTCCATTCTTCTCTTCCTGAGGAAACTGAAGTGTCCAACTTCCTCTAAGTATTGCTATGCAAAAGCTGCTGTAATTAAACTATTGTTATAGGGAGTAGTTTTTCCCTTTATTTAGGATTTCTCTGCACTTTATAGAATATTGTAAAAAACAAAAACAAAAACAACCCGCATACTTTTGAAGTGTATTTTATCTTTATATAGTTTATTTGCAAGAGTATTTTCCTAATAACTTCACAGTAAGAATGTGCATCTTTTTTTTTTTTAAATGAAAACAAATGATGGTATAACATTTTGACATCATAAGGACAAATGTAGATATTTTTCTAAAAAAAACTGTGAGGGACTGACAACTTAGTCAGTGTGCATTGTAGCTTATAAACATGAAATCTTATAAACATAAGGTTTTGGTTTGAGAGAAGGGTGATTTGTAACTTGTGCCATGGACCAAATGGTCACTTTATTCCAGCTAAAAATGAGTTATAATAGCAGCTTGATGGTGACTGTATTGTTTTCCTTTAAGCAGAAAGGAAACACTTTGCATTCTAAATATTTGTAGCCCAAATACTATGACATATTGAGAATTTTTTAAAAGCCAACTATGTTGTCCTTCATATGTGAAGTTGACACTACTGATTTGTCAATACCAAATGTTGGATTAAAGTATTTAATTTTTATTTATTTATTTTTCTGTTGCATCAGAAAATGAATTCTAACTTTGTGACCTACCAAATTTCAGATGTGTACACATTGTGATTTACACTGTTCTAGAAAAGAAGCTTAATGTTGTGGTGACCTTGCTCACTTACACCAGACAAATAAATGACTTTCAATGGAAGAGGATGTTAGTGTTTTTTTTCTAAAATAGACATTAAGCTGCTGTTCTAAGGTGTTAATGTTTGTACTTCTTTAGGATATCTAGAGATATTTTTTATTTATGAATATTTATATAAAAAAGGAATTCTGTCAAGGTGACTTTAGAATGGTATTATTTAATTAAAGAAGAAATGACATTCTTTGGTTAGTGCCTGCCCATACTTGTTACAAGTGTTTGCTTTGTAAACTGTTTTTAATTCACTTTGGGGTGATGGTTTTATTCAAGGATGAGGAGCATTTTAAAACAAACTGATTTGGTGTTTTTAAGTTAATCAGATGTTTAATAAATATGTGGTTTTTGCATTCAAAATCATCATATAATATAGTGCCTTTTTTTTTTTTTAACATTTATTGATATTTTATCTAATTTTTATCAAGTGCTAATAGTATTCTTTATTGCATTGATTTTATTATTTGTACCTTTGGGCCTCATGGTGAATACACAAATGAAGCTTATTTTCGGTTTTGTTACCTGTGAGTTTAGAATGGTATGACCTAGTTAAATTTCTATTACAAGTTCATGTGGGATTTTTTTGTTTTTAGAGTTAATATTTTGCATTCATTTTACAAAAATCTGTAATTATTTCCTCCTTAAGTTTAAAATGGACATAATTTATAAACAATCCATATATATTGATACACAGTTAGATAACCTGTATGCTCCTTAAAATGTTTGTGATTTTAAGTAGCACACAGTCATTAGACTACTCTATAATAAACAGTGGAATTTTTCTGCTCATGTGTTGTACTTCATTATGTCTAATCTGGAAAAAAATGTTTGATCATCTAGTAAGTTTTTATGTTGAGCTGGTGATAAGTTTTTTTTTTGGTAAGAACTTGCAGTGTGATAAGACTATGAAGGTGGAGCTGCTGCTTTTAGGGAGCTTTTCTGATAACTAGGTTCTTTTTGGAAGTGATAGGTTTATAATGAAAACACTTTACAAGCTTTTGAACTAATAGAAAACTCATTTTCTGTTGCTTTACACAAATAGATGAGTTTCTAAATAGTTTTCTGTTGTCATTGCCTTTTTAAAAATAAATACAACAATTTCTGATTTGTTTCATTTTTTTCCCCATTGAAACAGGTGCTTTGAAGAAAGATTTGTTTTATTCCTTACTAGGGCTTTTATTGTGACTTGAATCTACTTATTTTTCCTTAGGAACCAAATACATTTGTGAAATTATTTTTTTGAGGGAGTACAAATATATCTTGAATCATATCTAGATGTTTATCAGTGAGCTGGCAGCATGAAGCAACCTATCAAACTTAAGGGAACCTTGCATTTTGAGGAGCCATGTGTATTTTTTAAGTGTGCCTGACTTTTCTGAATTTTAAGAAAATAATGAGCCAAATAAGAACAATTCTTCAGGAATTTTAGTCCTCCTAAGGGCTTGCTCTGAAATTTGTCAAGTTTTTCTCTAATTTTTGCTTTATCAAGGCCATTAAGTTATTAAGAAATTAGGAGATTCTCTTGGTATGTCAGTGGTCTTATAAGCAAAGCCATGCTCGCTTTCCTTTCAAAGGCATACTGTTCTGTTCCATTTCAAGGGGAATCACAGGCCTTGATGATTAAAGAGATCTTGGTAGGATTGTTTTTGTAAATAGACTAAATTTGACTTTTTTTTTT